TCTGATCATTTGGGTGGCAAAGAGAGTTCTCGACTTGAAAAAGAACAAAGGGGTGAAAACAGCATTATTTTGGGCGCGAGGCCACTCTGGTATTGTGGGTAACACGGTGGTTGATGGCCTAGCTAAGCGGGCTATTCATAAGGGTGGACTTCTAGCTCTTCCTATTCCCCTCCAAGAGGTAAAGCTACAAATCAAGAAGATGGTGAATCAAAAATGGAATAAAGAAAACGAAAGCCTACACACAGAAGCTTTTTTTACATCAATAAACCCCAACATTAATCGGTATCCTTGGTTTTATAATTCCGGAATGACAAAGAAGGACTGTACAATAATTACCAGACTCAGGGCGAACCATGGGATCTGTGGCGCGTTCCTACATAAAATTGGAAAGCGCGAGAATAGCAAATGCGAAAGATGATCTTGAGCACGCAATGATGATCTGAAAAAAGTATGCGCTACAAAGAGAATGGTGGTTCGTAAAATTGTATAATATGAAAGACATCGAAAAGCCTTTCAACTACAAAACTTTATTGGCCTCAAAAAATAAAAGTATCTACTTATGTTTGTTAAAATTTATATATAAGTGCGCGTACCGATATGAGAATTGAATATTAACTAATTGATGTTGTTATTGTTATTTATTTATTTGTTTGTTTGTTAATTAATTAATTTAGTTATTTGGCTATTATTTATTTATTTATTCCGGTCTGTGTAGATGACTCTAAACAATGGGGGTTTCAGCGCGGGTGTCGGGGGGCCGTCGGTCCGGCTGCTGCTTTTCTGCTGGGTGGAGAAGGGGGCCTCCAGAGCGAAGTTTGCTCCGGAGGTTTGGGAGATGTGCACTTTTCCACATTATTTCGATGTTAGTGGTTTTTATGCATATTTCCGCTAAGACCTCGTTGTAAAGAAAGAATATTTCTAAAAGTGTGGTGATTATTTGATTGAATATAAAAAAATATATTTTGCATTGTATAAATTCACTTTTTTCCACATCCTAAATGTATTTGTTAAATGTAAAAAATGTTTGTAAATCCCAGGCCCTGAAGATGATCTCAATAAAGATCGAAACTTTGGCACGATAAAGAAAATATTTTTCTGAAACCTACATCACACCAGACCGCATCTCACGATTTCGGAATAATTAATATTCCTAAAGAAGAATACCCAAATTGAAAGCCCGTTGATCCGCCTGGCTGGTTGACTGCGTCCGGGTTGGTGGCCCTCTTGGTGCCTATATGGCGATCCTCCGCATATTGTTCCACACGAGCTTAAAAGTCCGGTGGCTAATGCGAAAACGTAAAGCAAATAAAAAGATAATTTCGTGAGATTTCCTTTTGAACATATTGAGCCTGTCTAGGGCTGGCAAGTCTATCGTTAACGATTAAATTAAAAATAATTTGTAAGGCTTTTTCTACCTTTTTTTTATATAATCCATAGATTAATCATTTAGCTATGTCTTGGCAGGTTTCAAAATATTTTTCACTGACAAATAATTGCAATTAATGTGCGGTGTTTAGTGATGGTTAGTTAATGATTGAATGAAAAAAATGAAAATGTTTTTCTAAAAACCTACGTCACACCAGACAGTATCTCACAATCTCCAAATAATTATTGGCTAACGGTCACTAAACACCAGACGTTATTTTTATCTTAATAAAATACATGAATTTGTAAAGTATGATCGTTCCCGACGATACTGCCTATGCGGTATCATTTTGCCATCTTCAGTGGTTGAATTTTTTGGAAATGTTTGTTCTTGTTTAAAAGTTTTAACGTATGAAAAACATAGATGAAGTTTCTTGTTTTGTAAAAACAAAAAAAAAACATTATGACTCGTTCGGGAGATGTTCAGTTTTCCTTCAGAACTCAATAATTTCAATTTACCGTGTGGTTATTTTAGTGCACTCCCAAATCAATACAAAAGAATGACAAAACTACATGGAAAACAAACACTTTGAGCCCTGAAGTTGATCTCAATAAAGATCGAAACGTTGGCACGACAAAGAAAATGTTTTTCCAAAACCTACGTCACACCAGACCGTATCTCCATATAATTGCAATTAAGTTGGTAAACCCTGCTTTTCGACAAGTTGTTAACTTTGTCTTTAGTTTCTGTGGTGATGTTTCTAAGTAAACACGTACCTCTAAAAGTTACACTAAGACCTTCTTGTTTAAGAATTTTACCTACTTTTTCTGATAGTTCACCAATGTATGAAAGCAACGGAAACCTAATGATTGATTTTTGGTGAGGCCAATTATTGCTCTTTTCAATTTTATTTTTTTTTACTAGCAACCTATCGATAAATATTTCTTGATATCCGTTGTTTTTAGCTAAGTTTTAAATGTTTAAATTTTTTTTGTAATTAGCACTTGTTAATGGGAGTTTCAACCCATGATCTATGAAGAATGAATAAGAAGAATCTCCTGGTATCAATTTTATTGTCTGTAGTTTCTTTGTATCGTGGTTCTATATACGGCTGTTTCAATTAGGTTATTTATTTTGGTTAGTTTTAAGTCTAAAAAGGTTAAACAACAATCTTTATTTATTTTCGACGTATAATTTGAATTAATTAATTAATTTGAAGAATTCATTTAAATCTTCTCATGTTCCCGACCATCTACCTAAAATATCGTCTACATAGCGTTTCCAAAAAACGACAGATTTAATTAATATTTTATTATTTGATTTGAATTTTTTTTTCATTCTTATTCATGCATATTTTGGAATAAACCTGTGGGGATAATGGAGACCCCATTGGTAACCCTTTTATTTCATACAATTTCAATTTCAATAAAACAGTGTTACATGGTTTCTTGACCGCACCTCATGAATCCAACAAATTATTAAACAAACGGTGACTAAAACAAAATTACATTTTGATAAATGCATAAATAATATAATAGATTTTGATTTACTCCTATTTTAAACATTTACCTAAAGATTATTTTATATGCAAATTAATTACTAATTTAAAATTATTTTCTTACAGTGTTTATTAGCGTAATATTTAGTTGGGTTGTAATTCACGTTCTTCCCACGTTCAAAATTTTAAAACGCTTCAAAAACCATCTTCTCATTGGAACGTCGCGTTGGCGGAGGATCGGTCACTTACAATTCATATCGAATGACATGTTTGCAATTCTTTCAACCTGATGATGAGGAAATCCGTATCGTTGAAAACAACAAACCGTCATTTACAAAAAGTGACTCTACATACTCACCCTTACTTTATAATTTCTAATATCATAAATTTCTTGTGTTGTTTGTGGCAAATTAAGAGAGTGCACTACCACGACTGATTACCCCATCTGCATAAACATTGAAAATCAAATTTACAAATAATGACTCAAAGTAATACATACCTGATATAGTAAACAATGATCAGATTTGATGGGGTATAAGTCAAAAATATATCAATTTCCTGAGTTGTTTGATGAAACCTAATCGGACTACCACGACCTATTTAATCATACTTCAGCCATATTCACTTACCTAAATAAGAAAAAATGCAAAAGCTGCTCGATAAAACCACGCTGTAGGCTTTTAAAATTTTTCCTTATTGAAAATCCCCCAAACATTTTTGGGAAGTCCATGATCTTTTATAGGATCCGCGGATGTAATTAGCACTTAGAGGAGGACTCACGTCAGCAGGTCAAAATTGTTCGTTTAATAAATAAAATTCCGTGCTGTAGTGTGAATCATGTTCAACAACCTACAATAAAAATAATAAAATTATAAAATAAACATCAAAAAGTTAATTATTATTTTAAAAAATATTTAAAAGATTTAATTTTTTTTATTGAACATGTTGAACGGATTATACACATTGTATTCTGTAGATTTTTCTACTATAAAGCTTACAAGATAGAACAATTTCAAACTGGATGAAATTGAATTGATATAGAAAGACTAACTGTCAAACCACATCAGCAACTTTGTCTCAAAAGTTTATAATGTTAACAAACTAATACTAAATTAGCAAAAGAATACGGCAACAACTTTTTTGGCTGAGAATAACCTTGTTTGTTTTGTTTACGTTTGATTCCAATGCGATGAAAAAATCGTTGGTAAAACGAAAGTTGGTAAAGTGGAAACTTTTAACATACTAGGCAAAATTTGATTTTATATAAAAAATAACTGAGCCGGAAGATAAAAACACAATCCGACAATGGGCGGGAACTAGATTAGTTTGGCAAATTTGAAAAAAAAAAATAAATAGAAAAAAGCAAAATTAAACCGGGAGATAAATGCATAAATAATATAACAGATTTTGATTTACCTCCCATTTTAAACATGTATCTAAATAATATTTGACATATAAATTAATCGCTAATTTAAAATTATTTTCTTAAATTATTTATTAGGTAATATTTAGTTGTGTTGTAATTCACATTTTTTTCACGTTCAAAATCCAGCAATATTAAAAACGAGCTTCTCATTGGAACGGCGGCGTTGGCGGAGGATTCGCGGGTTCACTCTTACAGAGACGTGTTAGTAAACCTTTCAATCTGAAGATGGGCTTTTAAAGCTTAAAACAACAAATCTTTGAGTAGAACCATCATTTACAAAAAGTGAATCTACAAGCGCCCCCCACCTCACTCACGTTCATTATTTCTAATAAAATGACTTGTTTTATTTTTATCTAGAATGTACAGCAATTCAAGAAGGACTTGAAAGGGCAAGACGTTTCTGAACCTAAACAATCATAGGGATTGACAGGGATCAGTGTAATTCCTAAGTTTCGATTAACTATCTGACGAGCTATTAAACAGTTTGGCAGGTTTAAGTAGCAGATTCAATATTCAGAATAACACAGTAATACACTACAGTTCATTACATTAAGGAAATAAAAATTAAAAGGCTTCAATGAAACTATGACAATTGAAACATGTACCATTGGTGGATTTTTCTTCCCTCGTTGGTTTAATTAAAACGTATTAAAGTGGTAATAACTTGGCAGTTACGGAGTTTGCTAATTTATCTATTTGAGTGGATTTACCTGTTCGGGCGTCACCGGCGATTTGAAGACGAGGGAGAGCTCGGAAACTGTCAACTTGTCGGATCTCAGATCCACCTGACAACCGCAAAGGATGACAGCCGTGTTTGCGCAGTGTTCTCGGATCTCTGGATACCACTGGAAATTATATTAGACATTAGTTGACTTAGCAGGCTAAACTCCACTAAACCGCGGGTCTAATGGCTTTGTAGCATTAAGGAGTCATTAATGAGATCCTGATATACAAATCCTTTTGAGTAAATGAAGGATCATATCGAGTATAATCGGGTTAAAGTGTTACAAAGCTTAACACTTTAAACATTATTATTATAAGAATAAATGACAGATCGTTCTTTTACAAAACACACAAAAGGATTTTGACAGCAATCAAGACATTAACAACAGTTTGATTGGAAATCACAATTACGTTCACCTACGAAGGCAAAAATTAAAAATAGTTATTATGTGAGTAATATAATTATATATATAATAAGCCAAACATGCACAAACTATTTAAAGTAATATATAATAAGAAATAAATTATAAAAAAAATTTCAACTCCTAAACCGTTGCGGCCACCGACGCTCCCTAAGAATGACTTGTAACTTATTCGTTATCGGTCACTGTTTTTTTTTTGTAATTTAAATTTAAGAGAAAAAGAAGAAAAAGCGTTTGTGTGTGTGTGTGTGTGAGAGAGAGAGAGAAAAAGGGAGAGAGAGAGAGAGAGAGAGAGAGAGAGAGAGAGAGAGAGAGAGAGAGACTGAAAAAAGAATTACAGGAAGGATGAAGGAAAGATCGCTAAAAACTAGAAATAAAGAAAGGAAGGATGTGGAGTGGTAGGAAAGAAGGACGAAAGAAAAAGTAAAAAGGAAGCGAAGAATTAAGAAAAGTGGGAAAGTGGGAAGAAAGGATTCAAAGAAAGGAGAACAACAAAAGCCAATTAATAAATTTGGAAGGAAACAAGGAGGATGGACGGAAACATTAAAGGAAAATAGAAATAAAATAAAAAAGAAATAAGGAAGGAAGATAAAAAGATAGAAAGAAGAAAGAAAGGAATTAAAGATAGGAAATTGGAAGAAAAAGAAAAGAAGGGATGAAAAAATGAATTAAAGAAGTAAAAAAGAAAGGAAGAATTTAACCAAATGAATAAATGTATGACGCAAGGAAGGAAAGAAAGAAGGACGAAAGAAAAAAGAAAAGGAATAATTTAACTAAACAGAAAGCTAGGAATGAAGTTAGGAAGAAAGAAAAAGGATGGAAAGAGGGGGAAAAAAGAAAAAAGCAGAGAAAGGACGAAATGGAGGTAGAAAGATTAGAATGGAGGAAAATAAAATGGAAGAAAAAGAAAGCAATGAGTAAAAGAAGATATGAAGAATTGATGGAGACAAACTAAGAAAGAATGAATAAAATAATAAAAACATAACGGAAGGCGGAAACAACATAGACAAGAAGAAAGGAAGGTAAGAAGGAATGAAGAAGGCAAGTAAGAAGGAAGTTAGGAATACCTGTTCAATATGGTAGGAAGGAAGGAAGAAAAGGAAGAACGGAAGGATGGATGAACAGACGTCTATTACCTTAAACCAACTAGTATACGAATTTAGATCTTAGTGAAGGCATCTTTGAAATTTAATAAACTTTGAAACTAGTTTTTATGTAATCTTAAATAATTCTTGCGAGTTTGGCCTATTTATGACAAATCAAATCATAACTGAGAATGGCGAACTGCCAAAACAACCAACCAGAATGATCGGACACGACTAAACTAAATAATAATCATGTTACAGGTTTAAAAATATCTCTCAGCAAACACTGACAAGCATATTTTATTAATAGGTTTCGGCTTATTGCTAAGTGAAGTTTTGTGATGTCAAACAAGGTCGAAAGAAAAGTCAATTTTGAACTAACTACTCGTTTTCATGGCGTTTTGTATTAAATGACCTGGCAGTAAGCCATATTAAAATTTACAACCATTAAACAAAAGACCTTCCGAATATCGTTCTTTCTTTTTCACTGCAGTAATTTTGTAATGAGATTTATGGTAAATGCTTCCCCTCTGGGTTGAAATTGCTATCGACAATGATTTTCAAGTTTAAATGTTAATTTCGTTCTGAAACAAGCCAAACTACATTGATGTCAGTACAGTTCAAATCTTTTATAGAAATGTCTAGAAAAATAGTCTCGTTCCTACTCCAGTCGAAGTCTGCTTTATTGCTTTTTTTGTTCTTGTACATGTAACAATACAGAATGGGCTACGAAACAGCGTCGATATACAGAAGAACGTATTCAACTTCAGAGGGTATTGCATGAAAAACACCTTCACAATTTAAGTACGCCTGCAAGTACATAAAAGAACTGTTTATTGCAAAAATAAAATTGTAACTAACAATACATTTTTAAAAATTCAATTAATAATTAGTTCAATTTGTAGAATTAATATGAATTTTTAACACTAATTGTTTTAAATTTAAATGGTTATTCAGATATCGTGAGATGCGGTCGGGTGTGATGTAGGTTTCATAAAAACATTTTCTTTATCGTGCCAACGTTTCGATCTTTTATTGAGACCATCTTCAGGGTTCGAAGTGTTTGTCTTCTGTGTAATTGTGCCATCCTTGCGTGTCGTGTTGGGCACTCACAAACGACACGCAAGGATGGCACAATTACACAGAAGACAAACACTTCGAGCCCTGAAGATGGTCTCAATAAAAGATCGAAACGTTGGCACGATAAAGAAAATGTTTTTCTGAAACCTACATCTCACCCGACCGCATCTCACGATATCTGAATAACTATCGATTAACGGTCACTAATGTCTACACATTAAATTTAAATATTTATACAATTTAAATTTAAATTAAAAATTTAGAAATAAAGCCAATTTTTGTTTTGATAATGTAATTGTATTTTTGATGTTTTTGATTATTTGTAATATACAATTATAAGATTAATAGTTTATAGGTACGATATCACGAAAATTTCAATTAAATTTGTGAGACAAGCAAGAACAAGAGAGAATTTGTATGCGTGAGTTAATGTTATGGTTTAAGGGGTTCCATGATCTCTAATCTAATTTTAAGGGTTCTATTGTATATAAACGAGATAATACGTAAGCTGATTTACAATAACTTTTACAATTTTCAATAAATAATTTCGTGATAGCAAGTGGCTCCGCCTTGCCTGGGTACTGTTCTTTTCTCCATTATAATCCATCAATACGTATACAACCGTCTTTCTTTTTCAATTTCCTTCTCTTGTGTAAAATTTTACTTTATTTATGATCAACGGATCGTTAATCAAATACGTGACTAAGATCTATCGGTGTCTGTCATTGTTAATATCTTCAAAGTTTTCGGAAGTTTTTTTCTTGTGGCATTATGCGATATACTTTGAATATCAAAGATTTTTTTATTAATAAAACCAATCTCTTATCGCAAGCTTTCTAAGGTGTTCGAGGCGTGACATTTTGGATAGTATAACACTAAAGTCCTTGATAACAAGGGCGGATTCCAATCTATATTCATTAATACCTTGTCTAGCTTATCTTGCACACTTTCTTCCTATCGCTTAGAACTATTGTGATGTTTTGCGACAGTTGCTTGACAGTTATTGATCGTTCTTGGGATCATCTAATCTCACTATTTATTCATGGATAAAATACATTAGCTTTCAGGTTAACCTGAGTAGCAACAGCATGTGCCTTGGTGTAAAGCTTTTAAGACTTAAATTTATTTTTATTTCACAATGAAGGCATAACATGAGAGAGATGTGGACAGATATCGGTTTAAATATATCGATGACAACTTTAATTATCTGTAACGCCGACTTACATGTGATTTATAACAGATCATAGAAGCATAATGATTTCATAAATGTTAATTACAATCAGGATTCATAAAAAATTAATATTACCTTGTTTACAGCGTTGTCTAGAGAATCGGGATCAGCAACGCAAAAACAGAGAAGGAACACCTGCGCGTCCTGGTAGGCGAGAGGTCGTACTGAATCGTAAGCAACGGATCCTGAAAAATAAAAATAAATAATAAATATAAAAATTAAGAAGGTTACTCCTGCTAATTATCTACTGGCACGCTAATTGCTGCGGTAGCTAAGGCACTCTTTTTTAAATGATGTTTTCTTACAATGCACACACAAATATTTTCTCAAATTTTTCGCATTCTAAGATCCTGCTATTTTTTTCCAAAGTCACAAAACAGATTATAATGTTAAAACAATTCGACCGATTCATAGGAAATCCAAGAATTTAGAACCGTCCAAACTGTACGAAATTCGTTAAATGTGTTAATCTGTCCTCAGAACACATTAAAATATCTTTTAAAAACATAACACAGTACATACATTTTTCAAAAGTCAAAGACCCAACGCCAACAGCCTACAAATACGACGTAATTTATAAAATTAATTGTATGAACTATCCAGCAACATACTTTGGAATTTCATCACAATATCTAGAAAAACGGCAAACACAACACATCCATGAATGTAAAACGCCAAAAACCAAACTCACAGCATTGTCCACACGCCACTTTGAAAAACGACACAGCGTTCATTTCGACCAAATACAAATACTAAACACGGAAAAAACAAATATAAACGCAAATTTCTAGAAACGGTTTACATTAACAGAAACACACAGAGCATTAATTACAGAACAGATACTTGCAAACGCCAGCATCCCTTTACTTGTTAACGTCCTTAATAATTAACTTCCTTTCTAATAATGAATGCCGAATCACAAATCCATTCAAGAAAAGCCCCATTCTCCACTTCCTTTGAGTTAAATAACACCGCCTATGATCAAAGATAAAGTCTCAAATTTCCCGCATTTCCCACCCTTTCACTATCATATAAAAACAGCTGCATACAAATTCCCGTTTCACAACACTTTCACACAAAATCAATATGACACCTTTAGAATAGCACCACACTTTATGAGAGTATGAAATATTTCGTGTAACATTTATATTTACGTGTGTGGTGATTAGTGACCGTTAGTCGATGATTATTCGGAGATCGTGAGATGTGGACTGGTGTGACTAAGTTTCGAAAAACCTTTTTTTTATCGTGCCAACGTTTTGATCTTTATTGAGATCATCTTCAGCACTCAGTGTTTGTTTTCTGCGTAATTGTGCCAGTCTTGTGTGGGGCATCAGACTGCATCTCATGATCTCCAAATAATCATTTATATTTACCTTGAAGATACCCGAATAAAAGTCGAAACGTCAGCAAAACAATTAAAAAAGTGTTTTTCTAAACTACCTCACGGCTTCAATTAAAATTCACATTATGAAACAACAGGAAACACACGTTATTTACAGTAATGCGTGTGGCAAATAATTAAATAATAAAAAATAAATCGCCAAAATTCAGTGAAATTACATCATTAAGGTCTTTTCCTTCTCTACATTTATTCTCTAGTCCACCAAATCCTAAGAATAAAAACACAACGTGAAAGTAACAATTCTAGTTTTATTTGTTTGCAGCTATAGTGTGGATGATGAGTGAAGAACGTGAAAGGTTTAAAGTAATGCGGTAATTGAATCAATGGTTAATTATCATCGTTAATTAGTTATAATGTATTATTATATTCCTTGCAAACGCTTGTAAATATTATATGAAATTAACAACTAATTAATTTAGGTTTAATGCATGGTGGTATAAAGTATTGTATTAAAATTAATCTTTGCTTTAAGGTTTTAATTACGACTCGATAGATAAATGTTGACTCGATAAATGCTCATAAATCAAATTTGTCGAGTCTAGGCTAAACCCGCACGACTTGTGAGTGTTACGGAAGTGTAGATCTTTCGCGCCGTCATTTTATACAGAAAAGAAAGAGTTTCAAATGCTACAGTAAGCATTACATTATTTGTCAAAATTCTGAAAGCTCTTTTTCTCGCAATTTTAAAATTATAAATGGTCTAAATCGAACTTTTCCCTCTACAAAATCTTAAATTTTTAATGCAAATATACATATTTTCAATTTTTTTAAATCGTAACATTTTCAAACAACATTATGTATTGCTCCGTAACTTTTTTATCAACTTTTATCTCCAATATAAATATTCAAGCAATTAAAATTTTTGATTCGTATCAAAACATTGGCTTGGCCTACTGCGAAAGAAGTCTCCAAACCAAGAGTTTAATTATCCCTTGTACTCTACAAACCAATGTAAGTTTCGTATAGTTTCTTCCTAGAAGTTCATGTTCCCAAAAAATTCTAATTACACTTTGTAATACCGATCCTATACGGAAAAATATTCTGAAAAGTGATCTTATTTAAATTCAAATAAAAATTATAACAATTAGAAGATAGAAGTCAAATCAATTGTGAGTCGATATAAAAGTATATTTTACACACACAACCAGATATATATATATGAGAGAGAGAGAGAGAGAGAGAGAGAGAGAGAGAGAGAGAGAGAAATAGCGATAGATCTTTCTCTAGAAACTTTTAATAATAGTGATCATTAAAAATTTAATTTTTTTCCTTCCAGGCTTTAACGTTTTAGATCTTACAAAAACAAAGTCAACTTTTATTAATAACCATCTCACATTTTCTATAATTTTATGATTGACTGAATAGCACAGCACACATACCAACTATCAAAGATTTTAGAACGAAACGCGTCTGACTTTGCTGATCGAAGGCGATCAGATTTATAAATTTAACATCTTGCAGAAACGTAATATTTATAACTATGTAAATTTAGAAAGATGTGTCAGGTCCACGAGAAGAAGATGCTTAATCTTGTCCGTCCAGCCTAAACAACTTTCTGATTTTACGACGGTATGGCATTCTTCACTGGTTGGCAGTGCTTTTATGTCATGACCATTTTATAGATTTATTGATTCATCGGTGTTATAAGGAAAATAAATTTAACTGTTGCTAATAACATAGATTTTATAAAATCACATGCTCGGCCTGATAACTCACTGAACGAAACGCGTCTCACCAGAATGATAACAGGGGATCAATTTACGTTTATATTATTTACTACATTTATATTATTTTACGCTTTTTTTTAGATTTCTAACTAAAGTTTTTCATGTGGAATGATAAAATGAATGAAGATCAGGACAAAGTCTTTTCCTTATTGCGCAGCTCGGCGTGAATCGGCTATTTCCTCTGCCCACAGATTTGTTTTACAAACAGCAAATCCAGTGCGGATCCTTCATGGAGTCATTAGTTAAAAAGATGGGAAAGGGGCGGAGCTGCAGAGTTAAATCTGTTTGTGGTTTGATCAGAACGGGGTTGAACATTTTTGCTCTGCCCGGTTGCTATGATAAACATCGATCTAGTGCTCTCATCACTTCCACCTTTGTTTAGCCGTAGCCTTTTGTATTTGTGAGTTATTGGGAGGCGGCGCGGTGGGGCCGGGGGCGGTGAATTTATTCGCTCCTCGATTACCCCTTGTCGCTTCCACTCGCTTACCCATATATACAGGGGTATCCAGGGCTCAACACAACGATACGGCAAAATACATAAACTGTTGCTCCATGGAGATTTATTTCGATTATCCAAGTTGCTGCGAGAGTTATTAGGAAAACAAAAAATCCCCTTCCAATATATTTAATTTATAGAACAGAAACTTTTGTTTCCATAAATACTGCTTGGTTTCTTCTACATCAAATATGATATAAAAATTCCTTTCAGTTACTTACAATATAAAGTACTCCTTTTTCACTGTGATTTAAAAAAAATGGCTGAAAAAAAAGGAAGAACTATAGAAGGACGACAAAGTTATAAGCAACACACAGATATCTCATATTTCTTTTACATAATTCAAAGGAAAAACTAAATGTCTATATCTCAACCAATGCCTTATATAATTAATTGAAAAACGTTATTCGGCCACTCGGATCACGAACTATAATGAATTAAAGGTTTGTATTGTTGCAAAACCCTTTATTGCTTTATTAAATTTCATTATTTTATCGATGATATTGAATAAACAGGAGGCAATAGTCCAGCCATTTTTGGTGACTGTAAAAAAATTCTTCTGATTTACTCCTACAAATTATTTTTTTATCCTCTAAGTAGGTTCGTAAGATTCTTGTTTCTCTCTATAAAAGTCCATCTGTTGTATTGGAGTAAATTTGTGTTTCTTCATACCTTGCAAATTTTGGAAGTCTGCAGACGTCAAAACTTTCAGGTTTAACGACACTGGGTTTATCATAGCTTAATTTTTGGGATATTAGGTTTTCAAAGAACTTTTCACGATAGAATATACGATCAAACTGTGGCCAATTTTTCACTTTTGGTAATAGTGTTTTTTGTTTCAAATTTAACCAAAATTTCTGTATACTGATTCGTATAATTTGTTCCTTTTTATGGAAAAAAAAGGCGAAAACCGTTTTAAAATCGGTTCAGAAAATCGACAGACATCGAAAAAACCTTGCCAGATCCTCCATGAAAAACTTTTATAATGTTTACAAGCAACAAATGAATTTTTATTTGTCTTTTCTATCCTATTTTTGGGTGGCAGCAGTATTGATTATCTATGTTTTAATATGTTTTAGTTATTTTCCAAATGTAGTGTAATAATTTAAAGTAGAAAAACGATATATCGGAGAGAAAAACGGGGCCTCGGTCATTCATCAAGCAATATTTTTATCCAAATCGAGGCGATAAAAAAGTACTTTACATTTGCAAAACAACGATTATTAACTGCTTAAAATTCACAATGAAGTTGTCTTAGTTGAAGCCAAACACTCCTCCTTTAAAGCTCGCTCACTGCATAAAAATCTAACAATGGCCAAGCCTTCTAACTCATCATTTGGCACTAACCAGTGACCAATTGTCAGGTGTCATCTCCTAACTCACTATTTACTATTTGTGTCAACCATTGACCTATTAACTAACTGACCAATGACTACCCTGTTTGCTAACACCAACCCTTTGTACACCTCCCCAGGCTTTCTTCTTCACTCACGAACACTCTGAAACAATGCCTGAAGAATAAGGCGAATTAAGTTGTTACTGCCAAGCTTTAACTGAATTTGCTTTATTCTTCAAGATCATACTTTGATCCAAATTGTTCATGAGTGAAAAAAATGGTCGATATTTCTAATACTTAAAACAGTTTATTCTTTGTTTTTAGATACTACCCTCTGGCTTCAATTTTTTACATTCCTGGAGCGTTCAAAGAAGACAAGAATTTTAAACTTTTCCATATTCTCATTCCTATTGTTCAATTCAGTTATTAAAATAATTTTTACACAACTATAAATCTAAAAAGTCTTTTCACGCAGTTTTTAAATAATCGAACATTTTGAAACTTTGTGTTGATTTACTCAAAGTTTTGAATATAAAAGAAATTTCCGATTACAATAAAAAGTATTACAATTAAAACTATTTTTTTAAATTAACAAATCTTTTAAAACAAGCTATTTTTTCTGAATTGATTTATTTCTTCTTAAAACAATAGTCTTCTCACGATATATATTGTTTTAAAATATTTTAAAATAAATATTGAACAAGGAAGTATCTCGGAAACAAAAAATACAAGTGTGTGGTGATTAGTAACCGTTAATCGATATTTATTTA